CTATAAATTTATGTTCGGGCTTCCAAACAAGGTTCTCTGTCCACCCTTCTCTCCCCACTCAACTGAGACACCAAGTCTGGGATTTGAGAATTACAGCTAAGATCCTCGCCAAAGTGACCAAATTACAACTGATGGCTTTTGGCTCCAGGACTTTTCAACAGACGAGTGTCTGCTGAGCCATCCACAACCCTCCCCACCCTACTCACACCCCCACCCCCAAGAGCTCAGGGAAAAGCCATTAGTTCATTATTCTTAAGAAATAGCTATCAAAAATGAGGGAGAGGAATGATCTCACGTATCTGACAGAGGAGGGAAAGAGCACAGAGATTATAATTCAAAGTGACATGGTGACATTTCAAGAGAAGAATAATATTGGCAGGTCATGCTGATTCTCTGAAAGTTGTTGGGCAAGTTTAAAAAGCAACTGGAGGTTTATCAGAGTAGCTACTTCCTTGACAGGCATCAGGAGAAAGAATCTCAGACAATGAAGGCAGATTTCTGGCTCCTTGTCAAGGTGCTGACCTGTCTTTCCCAGGAACAAATGTAGCTGAGAGGCAGTATAAATAGGGGCATATTGACAGTGGAAACTTACTCTACAGCACAGAGAGACTATATAAACCAATGTAAGACAAACCGTTAAAAGTCTGTATGTGTCATTAGAGAAAGTTGTGGAATTCTATAAATATTGAAAATCAGAAATGGTGTGGAGATTACCCTCTGCAAACAGTTTTAAGAATGGACATAGGAATGTTTTAAGATCTTCAACAACCTTGTGGGAATCAACGAAGTTCAAACATGTATCTGTAAAGCTTTCATATTAGTTGGTAAACTAAGAGATTAATACATAGTTCTAGAGAATACTTAGAGCACTTTCATAACCATGATTTCACTTTACCCTCATAACAACCCTATAAAGAGTGGTTATGCCTTATTTTATAGAGAAGGAAGTAGTGTGTGACAATTAAATTCTTGCTCTGAAGGTTATTACAGAGTAATAAGTAGGAAACAGTACTAAGTTCTGGTGGTGCAAACAAGGGCTGATGTTTTGAACCCTGGCTCTTAGTTTGGTTGTGGCTCTGTCTGTCCTGGCAGAATGGACTGGTGCCACAAATGACCTTGGCACATGCCTTAGTATCCAAAACAAATGTCATGGTTAGTATTTATTTACAGTTAATATTTAAAATATTGGTAGAATCAAAGGGAAACAGCTCCCTCTCTACATATTTCACTGTTAGATGCAAAACATCTTTTTATTCAAAGATTTGGCTTCCTATTGAAAGACTCTGAAGAAAACTGGGTGATTTTTACAATGTAGGAAATATTTTCAATTTAGACAAGTGTAAGCTATATTTTTTGATGATTTTAATAATAGCTAATCTCGTTTACAAACATCAAATCACTCATCTCAATAAATGTTGTTACCATCACCAAATGTAGCCAATTGCTGTGTAAATAAAGGGGCAATGAACATGCTGTGGCTCTTGTACATCCTCTCAAGGACGACATTATCAGTGTCATCCCAGTAAAAGTGTGCAAACCCTAGAAGCCACTTCATCGTCCTAGTCGTTTCTCATGTGCCAGATGAGGGTACTTAGTGAGATGATTGGGACGCTATGGTATAGAACAGGATATCTGCCCAATTTAAGGATATGTGTATCTGTTTACCTTAAGCTAGTGCCACTGATGGGAACATCAAGTGCTAGTACAGAAGATGAAACTAGAAACTAGTACTAGTATCTGTGTTTAGCGGAATCTTAACAGTTATTTCTGAACTAGGAATGTGGTCTGTGGAGAGAGATGAAGACCTGATCCATTTAAGAGTTGTTCACATGTATGTCTCAGTGCCGGCTAAGCTCACAGTCAAGATTCAGAATGCTGGCTCTTTCTGTCTCCAACATATACTCCACCTTAGTCCTTAGAAAAGACCTATTTGGCAAGTGTCCTCCTGGTCATCTCGGTAACCATTCTGTGCTTAAGCAGACGAAGTTAGCCTCCAATGCTGAAATCCCTCAGTTGCTCACAACCTCCAACATTCACTTTATTTTAATATTAAAAAAAAAAACAAATATCTGACTCTTGGAAGAGACCAAGGGGTCCAACTTGATGCTGGCAATCTGACCTCAGGCATGGAAAGAAGGCTTACAGGAGGCATGTTTAGTGTTTTCTGGCTTTGATTCAGCTTGTTATTTTCCTTAAAACGTAAAATCTCAGCTCTAAGGTAGACCACAAAGCTCACTAAAACTTCCAGCAGCCTCAAGACCATCTAGCCCAATAGACCTATATTCTTGGCTTTACTTAAAGAAAAAAGTGGAAACTACACAGGTGCCGATTATACGGGTTAACAGCAACCTCACGGTTCAGAAAGATTAAAGAGTTCAAATGAAGGGTATTTTCCTCCTCAGACAGTGAAACAAAATAAACACATCACGTACTAGTTGGCTTAGTGAAAATCCTTTGTTTAACAGGCAAACAATTATGAGATAAGAAATAAGAACAACCAACCAACTGCTTTGATCTTTTAAAAATACTCATTTGCCAAAACAGAAATAATAACATGTTACCAAGTGCCCAAAGAGAGAAACAAAAGAAGTAATAGCAATCTGGAAAGAAACAGAGAACGAAATTAAATTTAATATGATAATGAATAATGCATTTAGCAGAGTTCCTGGTTAGTCAGAGGCAACTTTCTGGAAGGGGCAAATTGAGGTGAGTTTTTGGAATACAGAGGTTCTTCTTTTGTGTGTTGTATAGGATCTAGTTTTCTGTTTCTGTAGATAGCTTTTGAAAAGCCAGCTTTTGAAAAGCACACTTCCTTCCATCCCACACAAATCTCACTGCATGGAAATACATTTTATAGTATATCAGTTGACTTCTTGCCTGGAACAAATTGTTTTAGTAGAAAAATTCAAATTGTCCCTTGCAATATTTCTTTTTATTTCTTTTATTTTTTATTTTATTTAGAGAGGGAGGATGGAAGAGAAAGAGGAAGGGGTAGAAAGGAAGGAGGAACAAAGGGAGAGAGAGAAAGAACAAGAGAGAGACATTGATGTGAGACACACTGATTAGTTGCCCCTACCCCGCACTCACCCTGACTGAGGTTCGAACCCGCAACCCAGGCATGTGCCTTGACCAGGAAACAAACCCACCATCCTTTTGTGCATGAGACAATGCTCCAACCAACTGAGCCACACTGGCCAGGGCTGCAATATGTTTTCTCAAAAAGTTTGTTGTGAAATTTAATTATTATCAGGATTACACTGTTTTCTCATAAAAATACAATTACAATGGATTTAAGAGGTGAGAAACTTTGATTATGGTTTTCATTCATGATTCAATTCAGTAGGGAAAATCTTTCATTAACAGAAAACTACACTCAGACTTCTGCCATTTTCCCCCTGGAAGGCACAGCTGATTTCATAATCACAGTGTTACCTGAGATCTGAATCGGGATAAACCCAACAGTATAATTTAAGAATGAAGAGTTGATGATAACATCATTCAATATTACAAACTTTTCAAAACAGTTCCTCAATCCCTCTTAAATTTCACAACATTCTGATGAGTCATATGGACTCAGATATTATTAGTCCTCTTTTATAGAAAAGGGAAAAAATGATCTAGAGAAGAAAACCTACCCATGCTCACATGGCAAATCAATAGCAGAGCCCTGGTCTGTGTTGCTCAATGGTTAGAGTGTTGGCCCATGCATCAAAGGATCATGGATTTGATTCTGGTCAAGGTCATGTACCTGGGTTGCAAATTTGATTCCTGGTCCCAGTTGGGTGGGATTGGGGTGAGTGCAGGAGGCAATCAGTCAACGTACGCTTCTCTCACATTAATGTTTCTCTCCCTCTTACACCTCTCTCTCATCTCTCTTTTTACTCTTCCTTCTCTCCCTCCATTCCACTTAACCTAAATATCAGCGGGAAAATGTCCTCAGGAGAGGATTAAAATAAAATAAAAAATCAATAGCAGAACCAAGTACTTTACTTTTGCTCAACACCATCTAGTCTATTATCAAAACACTTAGGAGAAAAAAGAATGAACTCCATACAAAAAAAAAAAAAATTATGCAGAGAAATAACAGCAGTGGTAGCAACAAAAGCAAAATGAGAGTAGCCATCATTAGCTGAGTGCTGACAGTGTGGCAGGCACAATGCTAAGCATGATAATACATATATTCTTATTTAATAATTAGAATAATAATAGAAGCAGATGCCATCTCATGTCATGGTTAGGGGACAGAGGCACAGGGTGGAAGAATTTTGACTTAGGACATAGCCAGTGCATGGCCTGGTTGTGATTCAACTTCACATCTATCTGATACTTGAGGATCTTAAACCTTTTCTCTGATGGGATGACTGGGAGCCTCAGATTTCAAGTCCTAAAATCTTTGCTCAGAAGGCACCTTTCTCAATGAGGATTACCCTAAACCTCCATTTAAAGCTGTAACCTCATCGCCACCATGCCAAAATCCTTAAATCATGGTTATGTGACCCAAGTTTTGTTTTTAATATTGATTGTTAATATAAGCTCCAAAGAGTAAGAATCATTAGGTGTATTTTTTTCACCAACAAATCCCAGATGCTTGGATAGTGCTAGCCAGTAGAGCTTTCTGTAATGACCGAAATGTTTTATATCTATGCTATATGGTAACCACTAGCCACAGAACAAAACTGAAAAGTGGCTAGCGCCACTGAAGAACTGAATTGTTTATTTTATCTAACATTTTAGTTTAATTTAAATAGCCATATTTTTTCAATAGAATTAATGGTTAAAAAGGGTTCAAATTAAATTAAGGAAATCGCTTAAAAGTTCAGGAGCTATGACTAAAATAGCAAGCACACATGCTCAAACTTTTGGCTCTTTTTTGTCATCTGTGACATGAAATCTTCCATAACTTTTTTTTGAAAGCAAGGAAAGCAAACCAGCAGCACATAATGAATTCCCATGTATGAGATTTATATATGATTACAATGATTATGATAATCACGCAGTACCTTTTTGACCTTGTTTTTTTTCTCATAGGTCTCTGACAGTGGTTTTTTCTTCTGCTGAGTTGTGTCTTTGGAGAATAAATACTCAAATTCACTAGGATCCTGAATATCAGGTTCTTCTAAGGAGTCCCATAAGGTTGGTGTAGCGCTTTGGCTTAAAAGAGAAAATGATAAGAGAAAAAGAATAAACACAATCTCTAATTCATTTTTTAACTAATTAAAAAATAATAAAAGTTTACAACTTGATTTAAAAAATAAGTCAACAAACTGCAAGCCCCTGTTAATAGAGCTCTTAATTAAAAAAAAAAAAAAAATACACACAGCCCTACCTGGTATGGCTCAGTGGATAGAGCATTAGCCCCCCTGGACTGAAGGGTTTTGGGTTTGATTTTGGTCAAGGGAACATACTTTGGTTGCAGGCTCGATTTCCAGTCCCAGGTTAGGGGGAGTTTGGGAGGCAGCTGATCAATGTGTCTCTCTCATATCAATGTTTCTCTTTCTGTGTCTGTCCCCCTCTCTTCCACTCTCTCTAAAAATCAATGAAAAAATATCCTTGTGTGAAGATTAACAAAAATATATACATACATACACATACATATGCACACACATCCTTACTAGAGCTCAGAGTAAAGCTTTTTGCAAAATACGTATTTTTAAAAATTTTTATTGATTTCAGAGAGGAAGAAAGAGGGAGAGAAAGATAGAAACATCAATGATGAAATGATGAGAGAGAATCATTGATCAGCTGCCTCCTGCATTCCCCACACTGGGGATTGAATCTGCAACATTGGCATGTGCCCTTGACCAGAATAAAACCCAGGAACTTTGGGTCACAGGCTGACTATCCACTGAGCCAAACCAGCCAGGGCAAAACACATTTTTTAAAAGTCAAAATATAATATAGAACATTAAACAAATACACATTTCCAAAACAGAATTGTCATTAGATATAATCATAGAGAGATCTAGAGAGAGAGAAACTTGTGGGACCAGATATCCTGGGGTTCAGACTATTAGAGCCATGTGAGCTGCTTCTCCCTCTGTCGGTAGCATTTCCATGGGGGATAAACATGGGCATCAAATAAAGGCTGAGGGATAGCCAATCTCGAGACAGTGATGGGATAATTCTTAAACAGAATGAAAGTGAAGTACTAAGATAAAGATTTAGCCTCTCCTTGGATTTCTTCTACTGGTTTTAAATAGGGTTTTCTGGTGAACTAAGTGCAGGACCTGTAATAAGTGAATAGGCTGTGCTCATTTAGAAATATCAGATTTATAATACCATGCTCCAACAACAGTATTAATAATAAAAAATATTATGGTTCAGTGTTTGAGCATTGACTTATGAACCAGGAGATCATAGTTCCATTCTAGGTCAGCTCATATGCCTGGATTGCAGGCTTGATCCCCAGTGTGGGGCCTGTAGGAGGCAGTCAGATGATTCAATGATTCTCTCTCATCATTGATGTTTCTATCTCTCTCTCCCTCTCTGAAATCAATAAAAATATATTGGGGGAAAAAATAAATAAAAACAAGCCAAATAATAAAAATGGCCCTCACTGGGATTTCAACTAAAAAAGCCCTGGGGGGACTATTTTGCTTTGTCTTCAAAAAACAGGGTCACTACCAAAACTGGTTTGGCTCAGAGGATAGAGCATAGGTCTGCGTACTGAAGGGTCTCGGGTTCATTTCTGGTCAAGGGCATGTACCTTGGCTGCGGGCACATCCCAGTAGAGGGTGTGCAAGAGGCAGCTGATTGATGTTACTCTCTCATTGATGTTTCTAACTCTCTATCCCTCTTTCTTCCTCTCCTGTGAAAAATCGATAGAATATATTAAAACAAACAAACAAAAAAACAAAATAAAACAAAAAACAGGGTCACCTAAGTCACCTTAGTTTTGAAACAAAGAAAGAGATGAAGATATGGAAAATCAGATACAGAAGACCTGCCTCTGAGAGCTAATGGATGGGTTAAGATCCAGATTCCCTTCAGTCAGAACACATTTTCTCCCAAATGTCTGCTTTCTTAACTTAGTTTTTAATCTTATTTTAAAATAATTTTAATGCACACAGAAAAAAATATACATGTTTTCAAACATATGTAGATGTTATTATCCATATTTACAAGTACTTACCTTTGTTTCAATATATATTTTCTCAATCAATGAAAACGAAAAGACCAATTATTATATAAAGTGACCCATACAATATTTTGATACTAAAAGATGATTTTCATATTCGAAATTGCTTTTCAGATCTGTATTCACATTTTGCTACATGTCTGCCTTTCCCATGAAATATGATATTTTGGTTCTGGGCACATTCATTTCTCTCCACTTGTTAAATTATAATTTTTGCAATATATTATTTGAGCCATTTAAGAGCATTTATGTGACATATGTGAGTTATAATATATAACAGTATAGTAAATACCTGTAAAATCATCCTCCACTGGCTAGAACATTTTCAGTGAAGTATATCCATCTACATGCTCCTTCCTCGGGCCCCACCTCTGTCACTCAACTTCAATTGGTGTTTATCTCAGCTGCCCTCAGGAAGGGGATCTTAGGGTTGGAGCTCACAAAAGTTCTGGGAAGCTGGGAGAGGAGGCTTGGAGGGAGGTGATGTGATGCGTAAGGCAGATTGCTCAGATTCACCCCCATCACTTCTGTACCTGTACTGCTTGGCCCAGCTCCAAGGACTGAGCTCGGGCTAGTATAACTAGGGCTATACCTCATGTTCTGAAGCAAATTGGACCTGGCAGTCAGGCTGGGCACTTCATTGCCATTTACAACTTGTTTCTATGGGAAAATACATTTCCAATAATGAATAAAGAAATTCTGAAATACCACCACTCAGTGAGTTGGCGGTAACTAGCATTTTGTGGGGGCAGTGACAAGAACTCACTTGCAATGAACCATCTGCCCTCTGATCAACTCTTATCTGACCACCAGATTTATAGTTTTAGCTCAAAAGAAGAAGAAGAGAGAGGCAGAAGGAGGATGGAAGAAAAAGAGTGGGGATGGGAAATTGAGAAGGGAGGAGGAGGAGGAGGAAAGTGAAGGGAGGAAGGAGAAGATATTTATCAGGAAGCTGAAAAAGTAGATAGATGAGGATTTCTTTTTCGTTAACTAAATGTCTCTTCCCTTTTCTAGAAATCAGAAAATAGATTTTTTTTTTTAAAAAAAAAGCAAAATGGCAAGAGTTAAAAATCAGTTCTCATTAGTAGTGAAAAGCAATCTAAGTGGATGAGAGGTCATGTATATATATAACTTGGAAAAAAAAATCATATTTTACTCCCAGTTCCCTAGTAAACCAAGACCAAAACTTTTCATGTGTATATTATACAAGGTGCTTACAACATCCAGTTATATAAAATATTAAAGTACCATTTCATCCCCTTTGAAAGAACATATCCCAAATAATTTTACTTTTTTTCCATTCATAAATACTAAACAGAATTTTTAGACCATTTTAGTTTAAAAGAAGTAGTCAGCCCTGGCCATTGTGGTTCAGTTGGTTGGAGCACTGTCCCATGCACCGAAAGGTCTCCAGTTTGATTCCTGGTCAGGACACACATTCAGGTTGCAGATTCAATCCCCATTCAGGGTTAAAATGGGAGGCAACAAATCAATGTTTCTCTTTTACCCTCCCCCCACTCTCTTTCTCTTTCAAAAAAAAAAAAAGTATATATATATATATATATATATATATATATATATATATATATATATGTATGTATGTATATATAACAGATAAAATAAAACAAGTAGTCATGGTCTGAGGAACATAAACTCTTGCCATAATAAGAGAGATGAAATGTGTGATGCAGCAGGAAGTACATGTCCCAGTCTTCCCCCAAAGTCAGGCTCAAGCTGACAAGTTCACCTAGTAGGGCTCTCCTGACGTCCCGGGTCAGGCAAGTCAGTACATTCATCCACTTTTCATTAGGCTCAAAATGAAGCCCTAAACTTATGGTAAAATTGATAAGAACTTGAACATTCAATTGTTTCCTTTCTCAAAATGGTCAAGTTCATAAGGAAGGAAAAACACCAACAATGATTACCTGCAGCTTGACTTTGTCCCACCTTGAACCCTGATAAAGGGCCCATAGCGCCTAGCAGCACTATAATGCCCCTGCTGCAGTCATGATAGTGGTTGCTCAGAAAGTCTTGTGGGGAATGAAGTGTGGGCACAGGTGTGAGACACACGCGTGGACAGCAATGTGTGATCTGAACAGGTGGGATTCATCACCCAGGAAGGGCTGCACATTAATTTCAGGACACTAATAAGGAACACAACTCAAAATAAATATTCCAGAAAATTATTTCTTAGGCAGGGCCATATGAGTTTTGAATGGGAAAAGGAGAATACTAGTAGTTCACCATATGCTTAGTATTCCAACTCCTCCTATATTGATTTCCAGTTATTTTATAATTGTGAATTATGTTATCTTCTTCAATATCCTGTCTTTCCTAAGTAAAATGTTATATAAATTGAAAAATTCACCATTGTATCTGGATTTGTGAATAATTTCAAAAACAGCCCAAGTGCCATCAGCAGATGAGTGAATAAAAAAGCACTGGTACATTTACACAGTGGAATACTATGTGGCTGTAAAAAATAAAGAACTCTCACCATTTGCAATAGCATGTATGGACCTGGAGAGTATTATGCTAAATGAAATAAACCAGTCAGAGAAAGACAAGTATCACATAATCTCACTTATATGCGGAAACTAATAAAGAAAATAAACTGATGAACAAAATACAACCAGAGACTTAGAAGCATGGAATAGGATTGACGAATTTCAGAGGGAAGGCAGGGGTGAAGGGAAGGATGGAAAAAGAGTGATTAATACATATACATAGCCCATGGACATAGACAATAGAGTGGTGAAGGCCTGGGAGGGGCAGATGCTGGATAGAAGGGATTAATGGGGGCAAAAACAAACAAACAAAGGTGACACCTTTAATGTTTTTAACAATAAAGATAAATTTAAAAAAAAAAACTTAAATGTGTTCTGTATTTTCTGTTCACTATAAATAAGTGAACTTCAAACCTAGAGAGCAGTCAAGAAGCAACTCAGCATCTCTCATTATCCTCTCAACAGGTTCCAAAATAAGGCAGAAGAAATCCCATTCAAATTACAGACCCAGTTTAACAAGCTATACAAATGGAAGATGCTCTTGAGCTATTCAGACACTGGCACTTTCTCTGATGGGCAGCAAGGTATAAGAGATAAGGGCAACCGGTTTGGCTCAGTGGATAGAGCATCGGCCTGCAGACTAAAAGGTCCTGGGTTCGATTCAGGTCAAGAGCATGTACCTTGGTTGCGGGCACATCCCCAGTAGGAGGTGTGCAAGAGGCAGCTGATCAATGATTCTCTCTCATTGATGTTTCTAACTCTCTATCCCTCTCTCTTCCTCTCTGTAAAACAATATATTTAAAATATATTTTAAAAACATATTATAAAAGAAAAAAAGAGAGATGAGGGCGCTGAGCAGTTAGGGGAACCAGAGTTTAAGTAGAGTTTCTATTCTCTGACGTGAAGAACTAATGACTTAGTTATGTCTTGTTCTTGTAGTAAAAAAAATAAAAATAAATAAAATTTATACATACCTATTAGAAACCAGACATATGGTTGATGATACTATCTAAAGACAAGACAGATATTTAAAAAATCTTCAGTGAATCTTCAGTATAGATCTCAGCTCAATGTCTTTGTGATTCCTCACTAATTGTAGGAACGTTGGAGAAGGTTCTAGCTAAGACCTGTGCTCTTCTCTAGTCTGTAAAATGGAATGTTTATCCTAGAGAGGGATCTAACCCTGAACACATTGTTTCTCTCAGCAGCAAACCATAGAGAATACAGACAAAACACTCCAAGGCATTCACTGTACCACTCTTGAGAATGAGTGCTGCACTGCACATATAGAAATTAAACTGGTAAGGATAAATCATCACTTGTGCAAAAGTCTTGGAATTCACAAGCTGAAAATGGGCTGGGGAGGGGGGTGTTGAGCTTACCTCTTATCACTTATTTGTATTCTAGTCCAATACAGAGGCTTCATGGGACAACTGGGCTCAATGGCTGGCTTCCGAGGACATTGGCTAGAAGAAGGGCCGACTCCAAAGAAGAGGCCAGGAGGAGGTGGGGGCACAAGTCCTGGGGGTGTTGGAGCAGGAGGAGGCCCCCCACTGCTGGGCAAAACAGTTGAGCTAGGAAGCGGTGGTGGGGGAGGAGGCGGGGGAGGTCCAGTGCTTGGAGGCAGAGGAGGTGGCGGAGGTGGTGGTGGCCCTGCACTCACAGGGGGTGGCAGAGGTGTTGGTGGCAAAGGCCCAAGCCCAGGTGGTAGGGGAGGAGGGGGGGGAATGGCTGCTGGTGGGGGTGGAGCTGGGGGGAGAGGCGATGCCTTCTCCTGGCTCGGTGAGATGCATCCCACAGACTGAAGTGGTGCAAGGATGTCTTTGTTGTCATTTGGGGGGGAGAGTTGGCTTAGAGAGGAGATGTTCAGCTTTTTGGGTATTATTTGGTTACTTCTGGTTGTCTTGCCTTCCCCTTCACAGGGTTTGAGGAAAGTCTCTCTGTCTGTCTGGATGCACACATTTCTGTAGGTCTTGGGAGGGCAGTCATCATTGGTGGAAATACACACATCTCTCATCTCTTCACATCCTCCTCGCCATCTGTGCTCTATCTCGTGTTTGAGATTTTCGATGGTTTCTTCTAGTCTTGCTGTTATCACTGCATGCTCACCCCGGATGTGAAAGGCCTGAAGTTGAAACTGAACCTGGAGAGATAGCAGTGGGAAAGAAAGGAGAGCGTTTATAAAAACAAATATCATAAATTAAAAAATACAATACCTTCCCGTGCCACCCGAGCGCAGCTCACAGAAACGTGGGACAATACACAGATGTTCTTTAGAAAATCCAATGGGGTGTAAATTTCACTTTATGAATTTTCCAAGGACTTAAACAGTTGGAGTAGAGGCAGAATTTCATCCAGTATGAACTCATGAGGAATAATTATCATGGATTAAGGCTTAAAGTAAAACTGTCATCTAAGAACTTTCACCCGGTTTTAATATCAAATGCAAGACAAAATTTTTAATAAAGGTCTGAACATGCATGACTACATCTTTTATTACTTTTGGATTTGGTTTGGAAAAGAACATTTTAAGAAAAAAATAGATTTGGAGATCCTTGGAGCTGCTGTTCTCACAGTCTTCCTCAGAATGTCTGTTCTATGGGGATTCCTGGTCAACACAGCAGAAACAAAAGGCGCAAGAAGAAGCTTATGATCTATGTGTATTTTCTTTTAAAAGTTTCCATAACAAAGCTGCTCATGATAAGAATTGATATATTTCATAATCATTCACAATATAGTAATAAATAAGCAATATAAATGCATTGAAAATGAGAATATAACTGTTTGCTATTTTTCTCTTTTATATACCCAGCATTTTAAACTATACTTATGACAGTCTTTTTAATACTTTTATATTTTCAGTTATTTCAATGCGTTGAGTCTATGGTTTTATACTTATTAGCACAGACCTGGAACACTCCCAGTATTAACTAGTCTATTTCCAGGTAGCCTATTATAGTTAACTGGGAAGCAGTCAAATTTACAACTTTAATTTAGAGTTTCAGAAATCTAATTAAGAGTAATTAAATATTCCCAGTGAATTTATTTAATTTCTGCCTACTCATCTGATTGTAAATGCCACGAGATGAAATCAGGGACAGTGGCTTAATTTCTATATCCCAGCAGCCCGCACAGCACGTATGCAGTACTGAAGAAATGGTTAAAAACCACTGCCATAGTTCTATTCAGTCACTGTCCCAAGAGCCTTCCTGTGTCTAACAAAACTGTCTTCACTCTAATTTAAGCCCCCAAATATCTACAACACCAAAGTGTATATAAGGATAGATCCATTTTGCCTTGAAAAGGAAAAGAAATTTTTAAAAATATATATATTTTATTGATTTTTCACAGAGAGGAAGAGAGAGGGATAGAGAGTTAGAAACATCGATGAGAAAGAATCATTGATCAGCCGTCTCTTACACACCCCTACTGGGGATGTGTCCGCAACCAAGGTACATGCCCTTGACCGGAATCGAACCCAGGACCTTTCAGTCCCCAGGCCGACTCTCTATCCACTGAGCTAAACTGGTCCTGGCAGGAAAAGAAATATTTTTAACTGCCTACTCAGAAAAGATTAAAAGACATAGGAAGATTTCCTACTTTCATTAAGACTCTTCTTACTGTATTTTTGTTAGGTTCACCTTCCCCCCCCATGAGTCAACCCCCTAATAAATGGTCAATAGAATTAGAGACAAGGATTTTCTGAAGCTGACTTTCTTCATATGTGGACATGGCAGCCCCAATCCAACTTAGAAAGAATTATCCAGTTCGGGCACCACGTATTTCCTGTCTAATACAGAAAAGTTAGCACCTGAGTTCTGAATCCATGCTACCTGGTTCACGTCTGCTTAGCCACCGGGCAAGCTCTATGTTCTTGGGCAGGTAACTTTGTGTTTTCAAGCCTGAACTTCCTCAAATGTAAAGTGAGGGTAATGTGAACCACCTCTAGGTTTTTATAAAGATAAAAGGAGATACCTCCTATAAAGCAATAGGCATTATACCTAAAATATAGTAAGTTCTGAATAAATGGTACTGTTAGCTACTGTTGCTCATGACAATATTATAATAAGAGACGAACAGACCTCTAATTCTTTGACATTTCCAAATCATACCACCTTTGTGGAGTGATGGGCACCAAACGAGGAAACGCTTAGTCAGTATAAACAATGTCCTACAAATACAATCGTTTAGCCCATCTTTCATGAGTTCCACTTACCAAATGCCTGGAAGTAATTTCAAGCTTCACTCAACTATGTGATCAAGATAATCTTTGTTTCAACATCTTATGCCATCTCCCTTTCTGTCTCCCTCCCCACCTCCACCCAGAGTTCAAGACTGATTCCCATCCTGAATTACTTGCCACCATTTCATTTTAGTGAATAGTTCAGTTCGGCCACAACAAACTAACTCTTGGTTGTTATTCCCAACTAACTTTCCTTAAAGGAGGTTTAGTGCCAAATAATATTGATGGGCCAATAATTTTACTCAATCTTCATCTTCTTAATAATATGAAAAATTTGTAAGGACATGTTCGCAGAGAAACTTGCCCTTTATCTCATAGCTGGCCTGTAACTATACCAAAGATCCTGGCCCCCACCTCTTTAGCTTTCCATCCAATCAACTATCTTTTGAATCTGCTGAAGCTGAAGTACATCTAAATACAGTTTTTTGTGGTCCTGGAATGCATTTGCTTAGTGTAGAGAGCAGAGTACAAATTGCACAGATTATTTTAGCTCTCTGTTCCTCAGTTTTCTCATAAGTAAAGTGGGAATGATAAGAGAATTCACCTCATAAGGAAATTATGAGAAGCAGATGAGTTAATATGTGTAAAACAACATTTAGAGTAGTTGGAACATAGTAGGTGCTATGTTATCATTATTGCTATCTCCTTCCTATGGGACAGATAAAAGCACTGTGGCCATATCAACTTGCTTTTGACTCTTGGCACACTCCCCTGCTCATGTTCTATCCATATAAAGCAAAAGTAAAGAGATCTAAATCCTTCTTTACCCTTCTAGATGTCACCCTTTCGTTCTCATTACCTCTTTCTAGTCACAGCAGAGTTTTTTTTTGTAAAATAAACCACAGAACTCTTATCTATTTTCTCATTCATCTTCTTTTCAACCAATTATAATTTGGTCAGCACTTTTTAAGTCCTCTAGTCTTTTCAGCTGCATTGTTAAAGTTGACCATTGCCCAAGCCTTGAAATTCTTAAAATTCTCTCTGCTTCCCTAAACTTCCAATATACCCTCTGGACCCACCCCCATTTTCCTCCCACTGCTGGGTTCTCTCCAATCAATCTGTGGACTCCTCTTCCTCCATGCATTCCTTTCATGCTGTTCATCAGGCATCCTCCTTGCCATCTTACACACTCATATAAAATGACACTTGCTATAAATTGTAACTTTCAAGTTGTTACCTTCAAACTGTAATTCCAGCTATCCTATAGTTTGGTCTACCTGCATATTTAAACAGCCATCTCAGACTCAATACACCTGAAAATGAAGTCATCATTGCTCAACCTCAAGTTATCCCCCTTTTAAAATCCCTCCTTGCAGTTAATAGCACCCTTGTCTTCCCAATCATCATATCCAGAAGCCTGGTTGCCATGCTGAATGCCTTATTCTCTCCCATTCACAACATGTTATCTATTAGTTACATTAACTTCTCTGATGCACCCCTTTCCTCCCATCCCACTGCCTCAACTTTTCTTTACCTGGACAATGGCAAGAGCCACCTAATTCATTTTCCCATCCCCCATCCAAGTTTGGCTATATTGGTTCTAGAAGGATGAAAAAAAAAAAAAAAAAAAAAAGCAGATCTTTATTTCTTAAAACCCTTTTAATAATTGGCCATTATTCTTCGACTGACACTGAAAACCCTTTAGCATGAACACACAAAGCTCTTCCCCTCTGTTTTCTAACAACTTTTTCAACTTTGGGCTCCTGCCCCTCTCCCAGATGTGTCCTGGACGTCAATGTTACATAACATTTTGCCTCTCCAGGGACCACTCTCTTTCATGCATCTGAGCTTTTGCAAATGGTGCCCTCTCTCAGTTCCCCTCTGCCGAAAACACTCAAGGTAAGGGGACAGATTGCCAAATACAGATCCCATGAATGGCTTCCTTACAAACTGTACTCACTGATAGGAAGATTTACCAAATAAGGAGGAAATATTGAATGTCCATGTACTCCATATCAATGTGCTGAGATTATAGTAAGAAACCCTTCTGAGCATTAAATTTTAAATGGCTCACATAAAGAAACAACTTACCTTTGCCCTTCCCTGTTTCATAACCCCTTTGATCATTCTGATTTTGTCTTGGTTGTGTTCAGAAGCTCAGCATGACACAATAATTCAAAGTGATTAAAGTAATAAGCACCTCATTCATTCTGTATCTGTCCATAACCTATCAATTATTGCCAATTGTGCCTGGCTCTGCTACAAATGAAGCATCTCAAGTCCATGCACACCATGAGTTGAGCCTTTGGGAAAGCTCGTTTTTAGCCCCATTTTTCACTCTACTTCCTGTGAAGTGCCACTTCTACTTTGCACATGGAAACCATGTGCTGTTCCCCATCCTAGAGCCACAGCTAGAAGGACTGTTAATGATTTGTGAATCAAACACAGAGTAGAACTTTATGTTGGATCAACATGTATTGCTGGATAATGTTTGCCTGGGATCATGGGAATCTTTATGAAATGTCAAACCCGGGTTCTTACAGCCAAAATTATAGCTAAGGCTGGGTCAAGGGAACATAATGCTTTTAAACCCTGCCAACTCTCTTTTCAGTGTCCTCCACTTTCATATCGAACATAGTGTTTGTACACAGAAGACAAAAGAAACCTTCCATTCACTTTCAGAGAAATGCTCTTTAGAACATTTAAAACATTATGGGTCTCCCTCTCCCTGATCCTGTCTACTAAAAATCTGTTTTTCTGCATTCATCTCAATATGTAAGTTGAAAGGACATAAATGCTGAGGTTTCACATTTTTCCAGTTTTCCCCAAGTTTTATCTACCAGACTTCATTCAGTCTATCTACCTTCCTTTACTCTTAACTTGATTGCTTCTTTTTTTTTTCATGTTTAATCACATCCTCTTTCCACCTGCAATAATAGATTTACTTACACCCTACGCCT